TTACGGTACGTACCGCACGTATCCCAGTCCCTCTTCCTCTTCCAAAGCGGGTCTGATTAGTTTACATCACACGGAAGAGTACCTTTTGTATGTATGTCTATATATACATATGTGTGTATGTGACATACGTAGTACTAGTATGTATTATGTAGGGTATGCAGTATGAGTATGCATAGAAAACTTGGGGCAGCAAGAAAAAAAACGACGAAAAAAWCCGAACAGTATGATTTGTACCTACGTACTGTATATACAAACTCTTGGAGTAGAGGTAGTAAGTACCGTACCCTACGGTACGGTAGTATGGTACACGGTACCAGGGTTTTCGGTTTTCGATCGACAGTCGTGAAAAGATTTCGYGACGTCCGAAGACGACGTTCGTGGTTTTGATTGGCGAACCCTTCTCAAAGATGTTGTGTTCGACAAACGTTGCGCTCGAGTACGGCAGTACGGTACGTAGTGTCAGGGGTCATTGCGTACGTACTGTACCGTACGAGCAGAGTTTGATGTCGTCGTCGTAGCGTAACCCTACCGTACCAGGTACGCACCGCACCGTACAACTCCAACCGCTGTCGCGGAAACACGGATGAAGAATGGATGACCGTTTGACGTTGGGAGGGTGTTGTTGCGAACTATCTTTTCCATCTAGTTTTTCCAATTCCACTTGCATCATCGGTGAAGKCGARTGGCAGCACAAATTATTTCTGTGCTTTCTGGTATTTCGTCTGCCCGCGATTGAAAGAGACCATCCTATCCGGTTCCAAAAGCAGCGTCCATTGTTGAGGTCCAGCTGATAAGACTAAATTGCGATACGCTCCGCAAGCCAGATACTATCCTACTGCGTCATCCTTTGAGCCGAGAAACAATCCCAGTCCCAGTCCCAAACCAAACCAAACCAATTCGAACCATGTTGTACAGATCGCTAGCGCAAGCCTCTTTTCGCTTCTCCGCGCCCCGGAACCGGCTTCCGGGGCAGGCCCTCGCGCGGGGCCTCTTTGCGGGCCCGACCCCTCCGCTCCCGAGCGCGAGCGGCGTCGACGACGACGAGGAGGCGCCCTGGAACTCGGTGGAGGGAGTCTACACCGAGGCCGGCGACGAATGGGACGGGTGCCGCCGCAACTTTATGGCGCCGATCGAGATCGGGACGCGCGGGGCGGACATCCTGCACAATCCCTTTTTCAACAAGGGGACGGCCTTCAAGTCGGAGGAGCGGGACCGCCTGCGCTTCCGGGGCCTCCTGCCGCCCCGGTTCAACAACATCTCGATGCAGAAGGCACGCTTCCTCAAGGCCCTCCGGTCCATCGAKTCGGACATCCAGAAAAACATCAAGCTGGAGGACCTCCACGAYACGAACGAAACCCTGTACCACCGGATCCTCGTGGACCACATCGAGGAAATGGCTCCGTTGATCTACACCCCCACGGTCGGACAGGCCTGCCAGGAACTCAGCCTGCGCTTTCGCCGACCCCGGGGAATGTATTTCACCGAGCAGGACAGGGGGCAGATGGCATCGATGTAAGTTCTCGCGCACCGTGCCGGTTCGTGGCGTGCCACGGGCGTGGCCTCGTCGAAAACAKCGATCGAGTWTGTCTGTGGTGGCTATCGAACACCACACCAGATCGCGATTGAAATWGGCTCACGGCATTTATYGAACATCGTCTCGCKTTTKTTTCTTTTTCTTTCTCCAAAACACCACACCAAACTAACAGGGTCTACAACTGGCCCCAAAAGGACGTTCGTGTCATCGTCGTCACGGACGGCAGCCGGATTCTCGGATTAGGRGATTTAGGAGCAAATGGTATGGGAATTCCGATCGGGAAACTCTCAYTGGTGAGTGTTGCATTCAGGCATCATCGTTGTGGATASTGCGGAGTCGCGATCGCTTSATGTGGCACTAYCGTCGTATCGCTAGTATGCTGCGCATGGCTTYTACGTTTTGCCKTGTCYGTTCTCACCATTTGCGTGTTCTTTCTGGAAACAGTACTGTGCGGCCGGTGGTATCCCCCCCCATCGYGTCCTCCCCGTCGTTTTGGATGTGGGTACCGACAACGAAGAACTGTTGAACGACGAATTCTACATTGGTGTCGGTAAAAAGCGCCTGAGGGGAAAGGAGTACTACCATTTGGTGGACGAATTCATGAATGCGGTTCGGTATCGATGGCCCAATGTTCTCGTACAGTTCGAAGATTTTGACAGCTCCGTGGCACAGCGTCTGCTCGACAAGTACCGAGAAGATCACCTGTGCTTCAACGATGACATTCAAGGAACAGGTGCAACGGCACTTGCTGGATTGTTGGGAGCGCTTCGAGCGAAGGGAGAAGACGTGAACTCACTCGGTGAACAGAGGATCGCGATCGCCGGAGCCGGCAGTGCCGGGATTGGAATTGCGCAGGTCCTTTACGAGGCGATGCTGGAACAGGGGTACAGCGAAGAAAAGGCCAAGGATGCATTTTACATCGTAGACCAAAAGGGGTGAGTTCGATCACGAAACCATCGTTCCGATGCACTTTTGTGAACTTGAAGCAGGCGAAAAAGAAATATGCAACGTCGTGTGTTCTAATACGTGAATTCTTTTTGGCTTTCTTGTGTACGCCCTCTGTTGGTGTGATACAGAATACTTGGAAAAGACAGAGCGGACGAACTCAATGCGGAACAACTGGTATTTGCGCGAGACAAAGACAACGAACTCCCTTTGATTGATGTTATCAAGAAGTACAAGCCTACAATTTTGTTGGGTGTAACAGCCGTGGGAGGAATTTTCACGGAAGAGCTTGTGAAGGAAATGGCAAGTCAYGTAGACAAACCTATTATATTCCCTCTTTCCAACCCCACGGTAAAGGCCGAGTGCACCGCGGCAGACGCTTATAAATGGACGAACGGAAACCTAGTGTTTGCATCTGGTTCACCGTTTGACCCCGTGGACATGGGGGATGGACGAGTTTTCAACATTTCTCAGTGCAACAACATGTACATTTTCCCGGGTCTTGGCTTGGGAGCATCTTTGTGTGGGGCAAAGAGAGTTACGGACCGAATGCTCTACCTCGCAGCCAAAGGTATGTCAAACAAGAGTGTCGTATTGTGCGCAGCAATGCCTTGTTGGAATTGACCCAACCCATCTTTGAAATCGTCCTTTTGTTCCCTGCTCATGTTTTTCTATYATTTGTTCGCCAACTGTGCTCGCCCCCGACTCGGATGTTTTTGTCAGCCCTCGCTGAGTGTCTGACGCCCGAGGAGGCCGCCGACGGACAAGTCTTTCCCCACATCTCTAAGATTCGCAGCGTTTCTCACAAAGTTGCGGTAGCAGTCATCGAAGAAGCDATTGCGACTGGACTGGCAACCAAAATCTCTGCGGACGAGAGGAAGGATGTTTCAGGATATGTGTCGAGAAAGATGTACTTCCCCGAATATGTTCCTCTCATCGAGAAGCGAACTRTTTCGATCTAATTGTATCCAATGGAACACAACATGGAGGTAGTACAGAATTGAAATCTAGGGTAGCTTCTAGAAAACGTCACTTTCCGACACTCAATTCATGGTTTTTGTGGCATCTTGAAAGATCGATGTCGCTACTTCGAAAATTGCATCAGATCTGCTACTCGGTGATTTTCATCGAAGCGGCTTAATTTTTGAATCTTAATAATTTTTAACACCTGCATTTTGTCTCTACAGATCCAAACGATTCGTTCTCAACTTTCTAGCGTTCCGAATTGTGTTGCCAACGAAACCAACGATGAATCTTGTGAACGTTGCAATTACGGAAAAGGACAGTCGCTTGCCCCTTCGCGACATTAGAACTTCCGTCGTTCGATCGTGCAGTCCCGATTTCTTTTYCCCCTGTCCGGTAGGCTGTATGCGATCTATGATATCTGKCCGGGCCCTTAGCAACCGGTAGGACGTTTCGAAACTGTCCATCTCTTTAGAAATTTTGGCAACCGCTGGCAAGGCTGCAAGCTGAAAGGGAAACAAACCGGAGATGGGGTCCCGAACAGATAGGATTTCGGGCGCTGCGAGAAAGATGTCCCTGATTCCCCCCTCCCACGYATGGCCGTTGGCTATGGCGGAGTGGAGTGGATATCGTCCGTTGWCGTTGYATGCTTGTTCCCTTGCAGCCAAGGGGAATGCGTCTAGCAGTACACTTAGGAATGGCTGTTCTTTCGGTTTCAGTCTTCTCTTCCCGTGCTTTGACCATGTTATTCGTTGGATTCCAACATGCAGTGGCAGCCTCCCCCACTGATCGCGCTGAAATACCTGTTCCGGATATTTCTTCATCACGGATGACAAGACTTCGACGGGACAACCTTGCGCGCCCAGAGAGACTGCTGCGTGGACAAAGAAGGTGCTTTCTTCTTCCAAAGGYGCCAAAAAGGGAGCAAACTCCATTTTGGCATCACCAGGATTCGCGTCCCTCGACGATATCTCGGAATACATATAGGGCACACCATTGTGGTRTGTTCTCGCTATGGCGCTTAGGACCACAAGAACCTTGYTCCAAAACTCTTTGTCGTCGCAGAGGGCTATCAGAGTCGCGTCCTTGTTTTCTTTTCTCCGAGCATCGCACAGGGTCGTGATCGGCGTCCGCCCCCATTTGGTTGGCACCAGCGCGGTTTCTGGAAAGTGCTTYAGGAGCGCTTCCAGTATCGCCGTGCTAGCCTGGTACCGGCAGGCTATGTGGATCGGCAGGTCCTGGTTTTCTCTGCTCGCGATTCGCACGGATTCGGGGTGGGCTTCGATGATTGCCRAGAGTGCCTCGATCGGTGGTTCGTGCTGGCACGCTAAATACAGCGGTGTTTCGTGCCAGTGGCCTTCCACAAAGTTCGCGTCCTGCGGCTGCTCCCTCGCGTGCACGATAACTTCTTGCCAGTTCATGTCTAGCACCAGGTCCCACAAATCGGACGACGGTTCGGGGCGATTTGCTMGTCTCATTTTGACTATAATGTGTACCGTGCTCTGTTGTTGTGTCCATCCAACAAACACTCTGGTGTGGACTTCAAACAGGGCATCAATGCGTTCCAAAGCATGGCCACGGTCGTCGAMGGCTCTTTTCTGCTTCTTCTGTGAAGTCGGAATCACCAAAGGGAGAAAGAAGAACGTTAAGTGTCAAAATATTGTTGTTTTCGCTTTCGATCATGTACACGGTGGTGTAGGGTTCTACTGCAAAGTACAATAGGCTATTTTCTTCCCCTACGCTACCACATGAGAAATCCTCGTTCTACCTGCATGACGTCGCCGTTAAGGAAGCATTGGTTTGTGCGGTTCCCATGGGTGACACATGATAGCACGACTGAAAATCACTTGAACCAATGAGAAAAATAGAATGTAGTAATWTTACGTGACTATGTTTCATCCACGTTTGGAATCCACTGGTGATCTAGTCTCGTCATCACACTTCTAAATACGGTACGGTACGTACTCATTAGTAAGATCAATAGAATTAAAAAAAAACCATCAAAATCCGCCATATTGAGCTTATTTCAACAGAAATGGGGCATTCTGGAGATGGACACCTCTTTGGGGATGGAGGAAGTAGTACGTAAAAGGAGTTTCATCAGGGGAGTAAACTTTGTGGTCAAGTAGTACTAGTAACAAGAAGGAGCTGATACAGGAGTAGTATGAAATAAATTTTTGAAACAGGGCCTAGTATGGAGCAAGGAATTTTGGAAAATCAATATCACACCATGGSTGCTTGAAAAACTATTTGAATCTTACAATGGTCCATAAAATCTCAGTGTAGAATATTGGTTGTATCGTCGTAGAATAGAGGACCTTGAAGCCAAGTAAGTGAAAGCCTCTCTCTGTTMAAGTCTGATGGCATATTTTGAGGATTGCATAGGGAAATCGAGAGCTCCGCTCTTCGACAAATGTGTACGGGTGGGTTGAAAATGATTTTTGAGTCGCCAATTCAACAATTTGATCTGAACCAACAGAATCATCGACAGAAGCGCCGTTCTTTCCCTTCTCGGAATCTAGGAGAAGATTTTCTGTGTAGGACCTAGAATGTGGTGACGAATAAACGTCGCATTTGCACATAAAACGAGTATCATTCATAGCGTCCTGTGGATGCTTGTCCATTCATTCTCGATGGGACGAAAGAACTCCTGTACCATGTTGTCAGTAACTTCTTCGATGCTAGCAGGATTCCATGCCGGAGCATTGTCCTTGTCGACGAGAACAGAGCGAATTCCTTCATGAAAGTCGCAACCAGGTCGTATGCATGCTTTTGCCATTCGAAATTCCATTTGYAGACATTCCTCGATGCTGATGCACCTAGCCCCCCGTTTCAATCCTTCCATAGTGACCTTCATACTTGTCGGCGACAGCTTTTCAAGTATRCTGAGGGCAGACCTCGCAAATTCTGAGTTTGATCGCTTCAAATTTCTGAATATTTCCTCTAAAGTTTCTCCGTTAAATGTAGTTTCAATTGTTTTTCTGTTGGTTGCAATGTTGCAGTGATCGATCTGTATCAACTGATGAAAGGATTCGAGAATGCCCGCGACTACATCTTCATCATTATTTCTTTTGGTAGCCTCGGCCAATTCGTGCTCAAACTCTTCCAATCTGTTCGAAGGGATATAATGAGTGGCCAAACCGGTATATATGAGATCAGCAGGTGTCATTTGCTGACCCGTTAGTGCCAGRTAATTAGCTATGGCACGCTGCTTCAAAAGTCTCGTCATCCACCACGTGCTTCCGACGTCTGGAAAGAAACCTATGCGGCATTCGGGCATTGAAAAAATGGTCTTCTCCGTTGCGACTCGATACTTTCCGTGGATTGAAATACCAACACCACCCCCCATTACAAGTCCATCCCACAAAGAAATGATCGGTGTAGTGGCAATACAACTCGCGATTTCGTTGTTGACCTTGTATTCGTAACGGAAGAAGTCCTCTGGCAATGAACTYCTTGTTCCTTTACCGCCACGTTTCTGGTAATCAAGACACTCGATGTAGACTGCCTTCACGTCCCCCCCAGCACAAAAAGCCGCCCGCTTGATTCCCTTCGATGAAGACTTCACAAGAATCGCAATAAGACTCGGGTCATTTTTCCATTCTCTCAGCACGTCGTCTATGCGGTCGACCATATCACGAGTCAGAGCATGCAACGCCTTGGGGTTATTCAACAGAATGATACCCAAATTGTTCTTTCGGGATGGCGTTAGTTTCGTAGTAAATCTTGTTTTCAAATTATTCTCTTGGATTATTATTGGAGACATCTTTTTAGAACGGGGCTGATTGTGAACGAAAMKTGCCTTCTACCTCCTGAAACATCTGCAAACTTCTGAGATTCGACGGTGAGATAAYGCATTGAGTAGATCCATTTTGCATTTGCTGTTGATAACTCAAGTTAGATTCCTGGATACGAGCATCGGTCATAAATTTTAAGACCCCTGGATACGAGTACTAACGTACCGTACGTACAAACCTRCTATTACTACTGGTAGTATCCTTACTGCTCGATCGAAGGAAGAACTGTGTTTCAAGTTTCAATACCCAACCTACGTTAGGTAGAACGTACGTACTGCCTGTCCGGCGCGGCATCGCATGTCAAATACTTCTACGAAGTACTGAAGTGAAAAGTAAGGTGCATGATAGATACAAGCAGATGGTTCTGTGCGTGAGCTGCAGTCTCCTCAACACTCGTGATTCATTGAGTCGTTAGTCCCCGACCTCCATTCATTCACGAAAACAAAGAAATGAAATGGCTTTTCGATTAAAAAAATTATGATTCTTTTCATTAGTGTTTCTTTCTGGAGCGTAAAAGGTACCACAACAGTTGCGAGAGGGAAGGGAGATACAATAACCTGTGTACGATAATTAGAAGGACCACAACAAAATATTTATGTTGTTGACGAAGATACTACATAGCTCTCCCTGATCCAATTTTGTAATTTCAATATCCTGTCAAAGGCATTCAGTAAATAAAAAAGAAGATGTCATCGTTATTGGGATCAATTTTCGGAGTTGATTCGGAGAAAGATACTCCGAACCAAAACTTGTTTGAAAAGACGGAAGCACTTCCCGAGCGACCTCAACACAAACCTGTGGCGGCGCCTAAGCGTAAGAAAAGCAAACGAGGCGAAGAGAATACCGAAAACGAAATAAAGAACGAACTCACTAATGGTCAAGAAGAGTCGTCGAAGGAGAAGAAGCGGAAGAAAAAGAAGCGCAAATCACACAGCAACGACAGTGAAAGCGCAGAAAATCAGAACGAGGCCGACAYTGGAGAAAACCAAGCCGAAACTACAACCGATGGTGCCGAATCCAAGAATAAGCCAGGAAAGGAAGAGGAAGAACGTACAATTTTTGTGGGAAATCTGCCACTCACCACGACACGCAAGGGACTCGCTGCTTTGTTCAGAGAATGTGGACCAGTCGCTAGTAGTAGAATACGTTCGGTTCCTGTTACAGGTATCAAGCTCCCCAAGGATCAAGCTGGTAATCAGAACATGATGAGGAAAGTTTGCGTGAATACCAATCAGATCGACAAGTCTCTCACAGACTCTGTCCAAGGATACGTTGTGTTCAAGGAATTGGCCGATGTCGAAAAGGCGCTGGAAATGAACAATAAGATTGAGCTCGGCGGTATGAAAATTCGAGTTGACCGAGCCACTCCTACTGTGGATCCATCTCGAAGTGTGTTCGTAGGAAACTTACCTTATGCTGCCAAAGAATCAACACTAAAGGAACATTTTGAARAAGGTTGTCTACTGGAACCCGAGGACGTCTTGGGAGTTCGTATTGTTCGCGACAAGGAAACCTTTCAGTGCAAGGGTTTCGGGTATGTCCTATTTCGGGAAAAAAATTCGGTCCCAACAGCCTTAAAACTACACGGATCCACTTACATGAAAAAGAAAATACGCGTCATGGTTTGTGGTAAAAGATTTAAGGGAAAGAAGGGCGAAGCATCTCAGCAAAAACAAAAATCAAAAGAAATAGAAAAGGTTACGGTGGGTGCATTCCGAAGAATAATTGCCAAACAACAGAAAGAGGCTCTTGGAACGAATAAACGAAAGCGAGGAGAAAAGAAAAAGAATGCCACACCAATTAAAGCAGGAGCTGGGAATATTAGCAAGCGTGCTGCTCTGGACAARAAGGTTGACAAGAAGGTTAGAAAATTGCAAAAGCGAGTTGCGAAGGGAATGGGAAAGAACAAACGCTAAGTAGTTTAAAAGCTCTCATTACAAGAATTGCAAATTGTCACCGACGTATTTTGTCTCTATGGATCTTATAGTTGAGTAGAATTATAATTTACTTTGTATTTCACTTGCACCAAATTTTGCCACTAGTTTGTGCTTGAGCACCTTCCCTGAAGAGTTCCTTGGCAAAGAATCAACCGAAAATATGAATTTTGGTCGTTTGTATCCTGCCAATCCCTTCTGTTGGCACCATGTTTTAATTGTTTGTAAAGGAAGACCGTCATCCTTTGCGACAACAGCACAGGCAACGGCTTCTCCGTATCGATCGTCTTTTCGTGGAAAGACAGCACACTCGATCACTTTGGAATGCTCGAGAAGGACTTTCTCAACTTCCTGAGCCAAAACAGTCTCACCCCCCGTTCGAATAACATCTTTCGCTCTACCTCCAAAACAGAGCTGTCCTTGGTGGTCCCAAAAGCCAAGATCGCTGCTTACAAAAACTTGGTTACTACCGATTTTTCTCAGAGCGCCGCGGCTTGTTGGAGCTCCACGTTTCCAGTAACCATTCATYACGTGAGGTCCAGAAGTGGCAATAAGACCAAGTTCGTAGGGTTTCGTTATTGTCTTTTTCGCAGAGTTGGCGTCGCGGCTGTACAACCGAATTTCTATATGATTAGGAGGCCTACCGACRCGATCGCCACTAAGCGCAGGTGTAGGAATAGTGGAATCGAGAGGATCCAAAGAGTCCTTTGTTAGCGAAAGAAAGGTCATGCTAGAGGCTGCTTCGGTGCATGCGTAGGTTTGTGCTATCCTTGCATTCGGAAAGGTAAATTGAATTTTTTTAATCATCTTCTTCGATGCTGATTGTCCTCCGATCAATATGAAGCGGGTATTCAAATATTGCTGTTGTCGCTTCGCATTATTGGAGGAAAAAAAGGAAGCTAGCATTGCTGGTACAACAACGAGGGTGTTTGCAGGGATGAAGGTGTCCTGAATCGATCTGGGAATATCTTGAACTTGAAAACTACTACTACTCGCATTTCCTCCCTCTCTCACTGGAAAAACCAACTGTCCTCTTGCCAGCAATACAGCTAAAAAGCTGCTCAAGCCTCCGACGTGAAAGAGTGGTACAGTCGTTGCTAGCATCGCAGTTTCCATAGAGTACCCACACGGCACGTCGAGTTTCGCCAAAGATTGTACCAATAAAGCACGATGCGACAATCGGACGCCTTTGGATCCACCTGTCGTGCCCGACGTAAAAAGAATGAGAGCGTCCGTCGTACTCCCCKTTTTGCGAACCGTGCGCATCCGTTCTCGTAACAATTGGCTTCTATCGTTATCGATATGTCGCGGCTTTCTCGTGATAGTTGCTCTGTTTGAAAAATAATCACAGGAGTAGCTTGGAATCGCCAAGCAAAACRAATGTTGATTGTAAGCCTGCCGCAGGCCATCCGCTACCTGACGAGCAACCTTTCCCAACGAGCCACTACCGTCGTGCAACACGATAGTAACTGCTGTTTTTGTATCGTTTTTGTCTCCATACGATCGTAGCGATTGTATCATCTCAGAGGGTGTCCACCGTGTGTTCAACAGAGCAGGAATCACAGGACGAAGTYCAGAAGAAGTGCAAGCCAGCACCGACAAGAGGGCGTCTGGCAAATTTTTCGTAATGTAAGCAATCACGATATCATCACTAGGACCCAGTGGCGACGATAGATTGTCGTAATTTGTTGCAATTGAGGCATTTACGTTCTSAATTACATTGCGTAGCCATGCTTGATGCAAATCCAAACACTTCCCGAACGACTCGTAGGACAATACTTTCGGTGCGTCCGTATTGTCGTCGGCAGAAGTGTCGAAAGCATCAGCTGTTCCAGATGATCCATTCTTCTGATGGAGCACACAACAGGGCAGCGAGCSGGTCGAAGAGTCTGAAGGAACAGATAGGTCCGACAACAAGAAGCGACTTTTCTTGGCAGAGCTCGTTGTAGACGCCCAATCACCTTCCATTCCTGCAAATACTTGTAACGTCTGATGATTTGTCGTTCTGTTACGATCTCAATGTTTCGCTTCGAAGGATTTACTGTTGCAGATAATTACGACGTGATGACGGTCTTGCAATATCATGACCATTTTTCACACTTGATAGAGGTATCGTATGTACGGTAGGTACGGTACTATTCAAGAGTTAAAGTTTGGATTTTCTGTCAAATCTGCCCTGAAGAGATCGTACCTMCTAGGTACGTACCTATGTAATGTATGATATCTACCGTAGCATATGCTGTCGTACTGTACAACGTACAACGTACAAGCAAAAGCGCAGGGAAAACCGAAGGTTTGAGGTATTACAGGTACGTACGAGGACTCGTATTCCTCTACTGATAGGTTCTGTTCGTACTAAATCGTACTCGTATGAACATGAGAGCAATACTACAATCGTACCGGCCGGTAGGACTCTACGAGGTCGTACAGTAGTGTACTACACGGTACGGTACGGTACGGTACCGTACAGTACGGAAACATTTCGATAGTACCGTGTATGATACTCTACGATACGTTTACAGGTATCGGTACCGAACATACCTGGTTTCGTGTTGATGACGATGACGACTGACGAGAGCCGATCGAATCAATCATTAAAAAAAGTCACGGAATCGAATTTACAATTTACGATACAAATTCCAASAAGACAAAATAACACGTACCGTACGTTATCGTACGGTAGGATACGATGCGAGCTTCAATGTCATCTGCTACTCTCCCGTCGTAATTATTATATTGTTTGATCAAAAACGAATTAAAGATAGTCGAGGATGATGATTTCCAGAATCAAGAGAGCCAGTTTTATTCTGGTTGCTGTATTGGGAATGGCTGCCACAGCTTCGGCATCGGTATTTTTGGGTGGTGCAAAAGATGCCCAAGCTTCTCCTTTCGCGACGCGGCGTTCTTCTTCTTCCCAGATAGGCAACCTTTACCACCGAAAGACCCGTGAAGCAGAAATCGAAAGACAAAAAATGGCCCGAGTTGTCCGACGAAACATCAATCCGACAGGCAACGGCGCAGCTATGGCAATTCCTGGTATGTACTTTACGAATCAACCACAAAAAAAAAGCATGAAGTACACATGCTGAACTGGGACATGGGTTTCAAACAATGATCTCAAATCCTTGTCTCTTTTTTGTCACGCATAAAATTTTGATTCTCCCTCTTCATACGCAAATCGTAGGATACGGAGTTGCAGAGCAGGTTTTCGTTGGAGGCTTTGCGAACTTTTTGAGTATTTACAACATCGTCATCACCGCCCGCGTTCTTTTGTCATGGTTTCCTCAAGCCCAAGGCGTCGGAGTGTTGCAACCCATCTTCCAAATCACTGATCCTTATTTGAATCTCTTCCGTGGTCTCATTCCTCCTGTTTTTGGGTTGGATTTGAGTCCTATTTTGGCGTTYGTGCTCTTGAATGTCATGACTAACGTTACCGCTGCAGTTGGGGCAGAAATTACAGCCGACGACCGTAAAAAACTTCAAGAATCCAGCCCTTTTGCCGTCAAACCGTACCATAAGAAAAATTCACAGAAGAAGTATTCACCGCTTATGATGCAAGTATGATGAGGAACTTTCCAACCTTTTATTCAAAAAGCTACAGTACATGATAATATTTTAGCACAATTTAGTTACGAATATTCTTCGTATATTTATGGTTTCATAGCACTCTATACTGATCATGCCTAAGTATATACTTCAAGTATCGACAAATGCTGTAGGATTGAGGGTCAATAAATGATGACATCGCTGCTCTTCTCATGTTTGTCGTCGCACTAGAAAAATKTCTGATAACATGAACCTTTACCATCTAATCAAAGTTTAAGCATTGAATTTAAAATAGATCACTTGATACTTTTTGTAGTGGTTTTCGAAATATCTTYTGAACATCAGCTCGTCTGCGACAATCTCAAGACAGATTGACTTGTGTTYACGCTTTCTTCTTCTTTGGCTTCATGTAAGATTGGACAAAGAAATGCGCAAAAAGGAAGAACAAGCTCAAGATGTAGACGACATAGGACGCAGTGACTCGGAAGTTAAGTGTGTCGCATCTGGTGATAACAAGGTAAGATCCCTGCGACATCATGGTCACAAATTGAATCAATTGCATCAATGTCAAATACGACTTCCACCAGATAGGGAGAGATTTTCCAGTCTGAGGGTCCTTAGTGTGCATGCAAATGAAGTAGTAAGTGTACATGACAGTGTGGATGAATCCATTGAGAACAATGGTCAAATAAATGTCACCATCATAGAAGATGTTGGCGTTGAGCCAGTAAAACAAAAAGATAGTGGTGTGGTGGTACACATGAAGGAAAGACAGCTGTCTCCACTTTTTGCCCAAAACGATAAAGATAGTGTCCCAGAAATCCCAAACCTTGGAGATGTAAAACAGCCACAAAAGATTAGCCACTGGGGGATTCTCCTTGTCGTACGCGACGCATGGTGTGACGGTATATCCATTGCGGTAGGCCAAGAATACAGCTTCGATTGTCATGTACGCACAGAGCATGATCTGCGATACGTTGTAGAAGAACTTGATGGGGTATGGATCGATGGCAGGCTGATTTTGCATGACTCGCGACCCAATTCCAACGAACAAAACATAAGCGAGAGCAATCGAGAAAGCTGAAGGAAAATCGGTCAACCACCAACCCTGTGGATCACAGCGAAAAACAACGAGTAGAATGGAAGATTAGTGTGTTTGTCGTAAGCTTAATCTTTCGGCGACTTCGGCTACAAATCGAAGCATTCTATATTGCCTCTCATCCTTCCTGTTCGCCTTGACCCATCCTAGTGTAACTACGTAGCCGAATTTTCCGCGAGGACCACCGTCGTGCCGTACCTTGGTGAAGCCAGTAAACTGTTCTTCGGGGTCGAACCAGTTGATGATTGCATCACCGATACGTTCAAGAGTTGCTGTGTACATGGTGTCAATTGTCCTTTAATGATTTGCTTAATTACAACACAATGGAATCAGTATGAAACGCAGCGAAAAAGCAATAGATACCTGACCGCCTTTWGTGGTAGGAGGCGAAAATTGACTTTTAGGCTAGCCTCACGATACGATACTGTACTCATGGACTGCGTCGTCATTACTGTAAATCGTACCATTTCTGGTACAAAAATTAGAAATGGTTATTACATCCAAAAACCTTTCTCAACAACGTCATCGTCTTCCCATATTTTTTCAAATCCTATTGTATCAGCGCGCGCCAGTCAACCAAAAGACAGAAATAGTGTCTTATGGTCACATTTAGTTTAGTAGAGAGGAGCAGGGCCCCATGCATCCTCAAGTTGTTTTCTGAGGAAGACTACAGTAGTTTCAAACCAAATGGCACGTACCTTATTTTACATACTATGTACTGGTAGAYGACAATTGAAATTGTTAGTAGTCTTGACATACTACTATCAGGTACRAGGAGTAGCTCAGGAGTGGAGGCTGGTGGTGYAGTACTGCTACAACAAGAGGAAGAAGATGTACATAATGTGCGTATGTATTTTCCTACAGGGAATTCATTACTGGAACTGCATCCAATGTTGCTGAACCTCTACTGTACATTCTAAAATAACACACAAAATATTACTGAAAGGACGGAAAACAAAGCAAAACAGTCGCGGCATCCACAAAATTTGTTCATTCAAACTCAAGCAAACGCCACAAAGCGTTCATTCATACTCAAGCAAACAGTTGTTGTGTTTGATGCTTCATACTCAAGCAAACAGTGATTGAGTTTGTGGATACTCAAGGGATGGGCTTGCGGATGCTCCATACTGAAGGGGACTGGTGTGGGAACCATTCAACACTTATTTGCATTTGTGGATACAATACTTAAGTGCCGATCTCGGTATTCAAGTTTTTTGCATTGTTTGCAGTTTGTGGATATGACGATACTCAAGTGTGGATCTCTGTATTCAAGTTATTTGTGTTGTTTGCAGTTTGCAGATACTATACYCAAGTGCGGATCTCTATATTCAAGTTAGGGTACCTCCTGCTCACAGTACTGGTGTGTGGACAATTTGCATTCTTTGCGGATACTCAAGCAGGKCTACTGACCAGCCAGTGATGGCAGGGGGAGAGCATATTCATCATGGRCGTGATGATCTTAATCATGGAAGTGGGGTCTGTCACCACAAGGGCAACGTTTGTGGGTATTTGAAGGACTGCCATTTCTTCAAGCCAATCAGTGTTATCAATGATGAATGACTGGATGATTGTGTACTTGTAGAAGACAACTTTAACATTGTTGGTTCTTCAGAAAAAGCAACAATCAACAAATTTATGAGGTACTGATAAGGAGTGCATGGTGATTCACTCATACAAGTCGCTGATGTGGAGGAGTACACTGATGCGGAGTGGTGCATTGTGATTCACTGATACAGAGAGCATGGTGAATGCTGATACAAGTCACTGATGCAGAGGAAGTACACTGATATGGAGAAGCCACTGATACTATGTGGAGTATACTGATACTATTCAGAGGAGCCGCAGATACTGATAAGCTCCTGCTGGTGATACAGAGGAGTACACTGATACGGACGAGGAGCTTGTTCTGATTTGGAGGAGTACTATGGTGCTGATCCGAGTCTCTGATATGGAGAGTACACTGATATGGATTATGCAGATACAGAGGAGTACACTGATACRGAGTATRCTGATACTAAAGATTACGGAGGAGTACTAGGATGCTGCTCAGTTTTAAAATTTGTATGAAATTCAAAATTAAAAAAAAATCAGGCAACAAAGCAACTGCAACAATGGGTGAAATGGGTTCAGTTGCTGAATARATCCTGGCCCAGCCCTCAGCCATTCTCCACACCAGAATTTTTTCAGAAGTTGAATGACAATTTTTAACTGTTTTGATTTCACTGACGGTTAAAATAACAGGGTTTACCTTTAAGAATGAGCTAAAATTTTCGCCAATAAATTGCCAGTTCGGAACTTGCCTACGGTATTAGCTCTATCCAGTAAGGTAGTACTCGTACATATCTTTCCAATCGACAGAACTATTTTTTACGCACGACTAGTACGAGTCGTACCCGACGTACCGTAGAACTCCACTTGACTCCCGGAAAAACATACTTCTAGGCAATAGGCAAAAGAATTCAATTCAATTTTCGGTCGGTTGAAACATAATGTTCTCTCAAGTCAATCACGACTCTGTATCAGTCTATTAATATCCTTTTCGTCACAACGACGCTTGTTGACTTTTCATATGAAACCGAAATACGGGGCTTCAAATTCGAGGTCGGCATTTCTATCTTGACAACAAACAGATATGGCATATAGACTAAAGTGTATACATTACAAGGTGGGTGTCCAGTATATGTCCATCGTGAAATAATTGTAATTTTGTTTTCATTGTATGATACAAGACACCCTGCGGCGGTWAGTCACATCACAATTGAAATTCTTTCTCAATCTTTGCCTTTCTTCAATCCATTCTTGACCAATGGGAAGAATGAGAGATTCAATATTCTCCTGCAGAACGAAAACGGTCCCTGTCCTCTTCTTGCGGCAGCGAATGTATTACTGCTGAAGAAATCAATCGCGCTGCCTTCGAACTGCATAGGATCCGGCGTCGTGACTATCGAGGAATTAACAAATATATTGGCGGAAAAAATGCTGACCAACAATCACGGTGAAAATGGAAGCGACCATCACATCAACGAGACCCTAAGAATATTTCCAAATTTACAGTTTGGAATGGATGTCAATGTGAGTGATAGTGGTTGACTTTCGTAGACAATGAGTGCATTCGCAATCACACCTTCCATTGTATTGTTGGAGTGAGAATTTGAAAAAGATAATGGCAAATTGTTGCGATGCTATCCTTCTACTAAATCTTTTGCATCTCAATTTTCCAACGTATCACTAAAATGTTGCCGCTTGTATTGCAGCCAAAATTTACTTCGGGCCCGACGGGTGTTGAATATACTTTGGAATTAAATGCTTTTGATCTACTTCGAATAAACCTTGTTCACGGCTGGCTTTTGGAACCTGAAGCCCAGGAGTTTGAATGGGTTGGTAACAATACATACAATCAGCTTCAAAATCTAATCATTGTCGGCAATGACGCTAGTGCGAGACTCAGAGAAATAGACGACAATTGTGACAACTCCGAAGAATTATCAAATCAAGCCACTCGAGGCGCCATTATTAGTGCTTTCTTGGAAAGATCATCTCACCAATTAACACAGCATGGATTGTTCGTGTTGCACGAATTCGTCCGGGAGGGTGACATGGTGGTATTCTTCAGAAATAATCATTTTAATGCACTGACGAAACACCAAGATAACCTTTACTTGCTTGTCACAGACGAAGGTTACGCTGATGTTAACAGCGTTGTTTGGGAAAAATTAGATGTCATCGACGGTGATACTGAGTATGTCAATGCAGATTTCACAGTGCCTCCTCCTATCAATAATCATGTTTCTGAGGTGGAAACGGGGGGACAAATCTCGACCAAAAATGCACAATCGCAAGCAGATTATCAGCTGGCTCTCCAGCTAAGTCGAGAATGTGGACAAGTTTCCAGTGCAACGGCGGTAAATTCTTTGGAAAGCACATCTTCGCATAAAGATCAATCAARTGTTGACAAAACTATTCGAGCCAGTTTATCAGATCATAAAAATCAGCGGTCGGAAAAGGTGGTGGCCACAATGGCGTCGGCATCCCAATTGCAATCTTCAGAAAATATTTTTGGTCCAACTTCAGGAAGTTCAGCGGATGAAATGCTGCAGGAGCAGAGTGATATGCTATTGGCTCTTGAGCTGCAGCGCCAGGAGGAACTRCAACAGGCAAGATTACGACAACAACACAATAGAAGAATGCAAAATCAACGAACAAAGGCAGCGTCGAAAGACTCAAATTGTACCATATCATAGGATACCAATATATTAATCTTTCTATTCGTGTAGTGTGTCAACAACTTTTATTTATGGATAGATAATTATGGAACTGTGTCRTCTGCACTTATCAAAAATTAGATATTTGGCTTGCATATAGTTGTCTTGAATTGTTGTTTTAGCTTTTGTACGATTTTCGTCAATTGATGGGTCATGCAACCACGGTTTCACAAATTGATCACCGTTGTCATTATCGGTACAATTACTGCACAATACTACTTTTTTTCTGTCTCAAACATTTCTTCCATCAATACTTGCGCAGAAACACGGGGTGTGAGTAATCCATCCAGCATTTTCCGCTCGAGTTCGTTGGCTCTTTCATTGAGCGTTGGGTCGTCTTTCATCTTGTTTTGTATCATRCGACTTAATTGTTTCCACATCCAGTATTTGACTTGTTTTCGTCGCCGAACGCCCCAATTTCCAGTAGTCAGCAAGTGYTGTTGGTATCGAAGAATCGTTAGCCACAAATCCTCCAACCCCARTTCTGTGACAGAGCTTGTCCTCACCACGGGTGGTATCCATTTGTCGCCATTGCYACCACTGCCGCTGTGCGATTGATGCAAGACACGAAGGGCACCCTTATAGTCGGCAGCGGTTTGATTTGCCGCTGCTTCCAASTCGCCATCGGTTTTTGTTATCGCCAAAATGTCTGCCATTTCAACAATCCCTTTTTTCACCCCTTGCAGTTCGTCCCCACCGCTTGGCGGAATCAACAGTACAAGGACATCAACCGATTGTGCCACTTCAATTTCGGATTGTCCAAGACCCACGGTTTCAACAAACACCAACGGATACCCTGCACAAGTRAGCAAGCGCACAACGTCGTCKGTATAAGCGGCCAGTCCCCCGAGGATTCCCGAGTTGCTAGAGGGTCGAACGAGGGCCCGGTCTGTTTGGCGTGATAGCCTCGTCATGCGTGTTTTGTCGCCAAGGATCGAACCCCCGGAAATATTCGAAGACGGATCGATGCACACTACCGCCAGTTTCATTGCGGGATCCTCTTGAAGCAGTTTCATCCCGAATGCTTCCATCAAAGAGGATTTACCGGCCCCGGGCGGCCCCGCAAACCCGATGCGAAGAGTTTCCGTTGAAAGGAGAGAAGGCTGCGCTTCTGCACCTGCAGAATCGGTTGTATTTCCAGATTTGTTTTGTTGCAAGGACGTTGACGAACATGATGACAATGAAAGCAAAWAMGTAAGCAGCAAGTCGCCTTGTTTTTTCTTGWGTCGATGTTTCGACTCCATGAGGGTAATGGCCCTGCTGATGGCAACTCGGGGATGCATTTGAACCGCTGTTTGTTGATTCGATCCTTTTTTCCCATCGCCRGAATCATTGCYATCGCATTCATTGCAACCGAAATCGTCATCGGCATGAATACTGAGTCTCTGGCTGAGTATTGACCGAGCCAATCTGCGAGTCTCCGGTGTCATYTCTCCCCATAGGAATTGCCGACTAGATGTGGAAATAGATGCCTCGCTGTTAGTATCAATTTCCTTCTGATCAGAGTAGCACCGATGTGTTCGTTGCCGCTGTTGCTTCTGATCCCGTGGTTTTGATCCGAGACAACCAGTCATCGAATGGCAACAGGAGGTCGTAGCAGTGCATCGCCCTCGCCATTGTAGTTGCTTCTGGGATGCATAAATTGGAATGGTTGATACACGCTTTTCTGTAACTCGGTGCACAATCCCAAGAAGGCATCGCTTCGTGCCAGAAGCGTGGGHGAAGAGCGTCGTTGCCATCGTTCAGAACGCAGGTCGTTCTGTTCCCTAGAATATTGGATCACCGCTTCATTTCTATTCAAGGACGCCTCTCTTCAATAATGACGWGCGGCCTTCTGTTTTCACCCGAAAACCTGAGTAAAGTATWTTGTTGTCAAATTTTAGCTCGCAATCGCATCCGGGTATTCTAGAAATTCCCGATTTCATCGTCACCCCATTGACTTTTGTCAGGATGTGACCAACGACGAAGATCCGATGTCATCTCGTCAGGCACGACTTCGATGTGCAGGGGATCGCTGCATGGAATCAACTCTCGAAYTCTKCTKAGGTATTGTTGATTGTCCCCCCTGCCTTCTCCCCCGAAAAGCGAAATAAGAAAAMGAACCAGGACGCCGTTATCAATTAACGCTCTTTTGAGTCGCAAACAAAACAATTCGTGACGTCACAGTTTGTTCTCTGCCATCATACGAGCGACGTACAGAATCGTGTTAGTCACGAGTGGTGTGGAGTCGTTGTTGAAGGGGCGATCTGTTTGTACAGTAAACAACAACGTCCGTACTGTACCGGGCCGTACTGCCCGGAAGACCTCGAAGCCGCTGAGTAAGGCGTTTACGTGTGTAACTTTCCAGGAAGTCAGAAAGCCGAAATTAGTTGCATCATCAGAGGCATGTTTTTCATCAATGGAAGGGAACCCGAAAGGTGATCCAAACAAGGAGGAAAGCGACGACACCCCGCATCTGTAGAACAAGTGTGGTTTCTCTGACCCTCGACCAACAGCRCAACGAGTTCTTCTTGTTCTGGCTACCAAGCTTTTTCACACGATACAATACTTCGAGTACTTCGTACAGTACACCTTATCGTACGGAACAACAAAAAGGGAGTTATCGCAGCAGCTGCTCCCATTCCAGTCCAGATAATCATTCTCGTAGTCATCATTCACCACCGAAGAGGCGTCGTCGCTGTGAAACCAAGACCTTAATTTCTCTTYATACGGGAATACCTAACTCACCACGAGTCACAACACAAAGCCAAAAATTGATTGAAATGGTCAGAGATCTGTGAAGTGAATCAGTATTATTTGTAGAAGAGAGATAATATCAATACCAAACAACRATGGTTCTCTGTCGGAAAGCAGCGCTGGCGATACTGCTAGCAAGCAGCTCAACGCCGTCCKCCTTGTCGTTTCAAGGCAACTCTCACACAATCACCAGAAACCAAAAARTACAATCACAAAATAGTGTCGTGAGGAATAGACGAAGGCCCGCGGCTGCGGTGAAGAGCCTTTCGACGTTCACGCCGTCGAAGTCCTCGCTCACATCCATGGCCGCCGATGCATCTTCGTCGTTTAACAACGACACGGAAGGAAACATTGGAGACGCMTTGTCGAGTGTCACAAATGCAGCGGTAGATTCCATTGCGAATGTAGTGAAGGACGAACCAGACACGGACGCTCAAGAGATTGCACGAAAACAGGAAATGGTACAGAAGCGACAAACCGAAAAGTCATACAAGGTTTCCCTACCTCTGGCAGATTCCTCTGGATCGAAGTTGGGAATCCGAYTGTGCCAGATCTCGAACGGTCTCGAGCTCGRTTCTCTATTGGAACTAAATATGGACACTCTGAATGTCCAAGAACGTGAAGAGTTGTCGGGCATTACTTCGGGAGAACAAGCCGAAAATAGCGATAGCATCAGCAACGATTTAGTGATGGACACAGCCATCTTACGGCGGCGGATYGATGGGGAGTTTCAGGGCTTAGTAGTATCCTCTGTCACCGAGAACAGTGCCGGCTGGGCAGCGGGTGTCCGACCTGGCGACGTACTCAAAACAACATCGGCAACCCTCGGGAACCAAATGTGGCCGAAGAGCACGCTGGAGGGAGTGAAGTCGGCAATAACCTCTCGCAAAGCAGTCGCGGAATCGATGGAGTTCGAGTTTCAACGGCTCGTAGAAACAGAAGACAATCGATTCGAACTAACGTTGACGCGACCAATTGGTTTCAACCTCAAAGGTAAGTAGTCAAAATACGAAGTAGCAGTTKAGGTCTAGGAAAGACGAGTTCAATTGGATCTATCTGTGTGGAAAGGTCCAGCATTAATACATTGCAGCSAGCGATTACAAACRTGGCTCGAGTAACCATCGAATTTCGTAGCTTACTAGATTTTCTCATTCTTCTCCTGAYGCGACATCCCTTCTAGAAACGGAAGACGGGTACGTAGAAATCATAGGCTTCACACCGAAAGCCTCGAAGCTTGCCCGCAAAGCCGTTCGGGTAGGTGATCGAATTTTAGCAGTTGATTCCTCTTTGGGAGATCGCATGTGGCCCGTATCCACCACTGAAGGTTTGATTTCTGCTGTAACRGCACGTCTTCCCGGACAGAAAATTACGTTTCGTTTTGAACGAAGGTCAACGGCAACAGAGGATAACGCAATAATAGAAAATGACACAGCAGAAAGCTCTRGACCTACATCGACGTCTTCAACAGAAGACACCTTTTTTTCTCCTGTGACAACATCCAAATCTGTATCGCCAACTGAAGCCGTTGATTCCGCTTYATCTGGATTCGACGAGAAGTTATTACTGCGATGTCAAGAAATTCTAAAACGGTACAAAAACGACGAAAAATATGTCAACAAATTCTCTTTGCCCGGYATTGTTGCGGACAAGGTAGTGAATGCACTTGCGAGTGCAGGAACGAAGGTTGACGGCGGCACACTCTCGATGATTTTGACAGCTTATCTCACCTGTCGGCAACCGGATATGGCGATTCGCGTCTTTGAGGCGGTTGTGGGTCTTCGAGCCGACGGAATCGAGGGCGAAATCGAGTCTGTCGAGACACTTAGTGACATGGACATCGAAAGCGATCCTTTGCTCGGAAGAAACGGAAAGCAGATCGCTCCGAATGCCGATGCACTTGATGCCTACACTGCCGGTGCCATCATGAAAGCACATGCCATGAATGGTGACTTGGTTTCAATGCAGCGTGTCCTTTCGGTSTTGGAAGGGCACGGAGGGATGAAGGTCGGGGACGTTGAATTTGCATCGTGGCCTGGCACCGGAGCAGRAGGCATTCTGAAACCCGACAGTCAGTGCTACAACATTGCGATCACGGCAGCGGCGAATTCCGATGCCGAGGAGGGCCTCGAGTTGGCAATGATTATGTTCAACAGGTTGGGTAATCCCGGGAAAAACCAACGGTTAGTTAAGGACGTTGTTTCTTACAATGCCATTATCAAWGCCATGACAAAGTTCGGAAAATTTGATGAAGCCATAGAGACATTTTATCAAATGAAGAAAACCGGAATCAAACCCGACAAATACACGTACACTGCCTTGGCTAAGTCCGTCATGGTGGACGACAACGACGTTGAAGAACTTYTGTACGACATGAGAGAAGCAGGTGTAGACGCCGATGTRATGACCTTTAACACGATCATCCGATATCTGTGTGAACAAAAGAAGATGTCGGCGGCTAGAAAGGTGGTCAACTTYATGGAATCGTCGGGAGTCCCTCCTGATTCGTGGACATATAGTTTCTTAATGAAAGGCTTGCTCGATGGTGGAAATCCCAGTGCAGCTCTCACTCTATTTGAATCAGCCTGTGCCGATCGACGCACTGTCGGTCTGACTGAGAATGTCTTTCTGTACACATCAGCCATGACGGCCGCGGCTTCGATCGGAGATCACACCCGAGCTCTAGAACTTCTCACCAGAATGAATTCCCTTGGAATCAAGCCGAACATCAAAACAATGACAGCCTTGTTGAGTGCTTGCATTTCAGCCAATGAACCAGATCTTGCAATTGATATCTTTCATCGTATCCCCAACCCAGATTCTTACGCCGTAACAAAAGGGCTACTAGCTCTATCGTTAGGTGGAAGGGGAGACGAGGCGTTGGCTATGTTATCCGAAAAAGAATCAGTTGCCGGAAGCATCAAAGGGAAACCTTTGAACAAAATATACGAATCGTTACTCATCAATTCGATAAAAGCCAACGACTACGAGTTAGCACGGCGGGTTGTGAAGAGTCTCATCGGGAAAGGAAACATCCCCTCGAAAGCAATCTTTCAAAAGATTTTCGAAAGCATGAGCTTAACGCTTAAGGATGGACTTGTCGCAAATATATCSTACTCAAAAAGCGGACTTGTAACACGCCAATCGAATGATGAACAAGATGCCGAAAAATACAAGTTCTTGCTATTTCTCGTGGACTCGCTATCAGACCGAAACCTTCCTTGTGAAGCTTCGCTTTACTCTACTATTCTGCAGTTCGGCAACCACATCGGTGGATTGGCAAGAAAAGTCTCTGCCCATCTGGTATCCGCGAAAGCTGCGTCAGGCGTATATGGCAATAACAATGTGAAGCTAATAGACGAAGTTCGCGCTTGTGAGACAAACTGCATGATCGGAGGTTGGGAAGATCTGTACCTGAATTTTGAAGAACTTCGGAATCAAATAGATAGCCCGCTATCGCTGCCAAAGCTAAACGTACGAGTAGCGAGCCGAGAATTGTCGAGGGTATTGCGAGCCGAGAAGAACCTATCCTACAGAAAGCGCAGCTTAGTGTGACGCAAGTTAATTTAATGAATCGCATCATTGATTCCCAGCTATTCTGGTGGCTYGTCGGAAGTCACCCAATAACTCCCACACGCATACAACSATATTAACACACTTTTGATAGCTACAACTTTATCAAGAAGCTACAATACTTTTCATTTCACTGCTCGTATTGAAGAGGCAGAAGCTTTATTTTTCTGTGTAGGATGAGCAAATTGAGTGTCGAAGGCATTATTTCCCAAAACCCCTCTTCTTCCCTCCACCATTTCCCTTTTGTTTCCGCTTGTTTTTTTTCTGATTCTTCCCGAATCCCTTTTTGCTAATTTCTGGTGATTTTATTTGAGCGCGGAATCCAGTTCCACTCTCAGGTATGAGWGGAAATGAACGGGATGCCTCTGTTATCTTCTCTGCCTTGAATCGTTCTTCTTCATTTGAACTAAGTAACTGATCATACTCCAAACAATCGAATGTGAATTGAAGAGCTTCTTTCTCAATAGCTGTGAGATCGGGATGCCAAACTCGCATCATGAGAATGTAGCGCATTTTATCACTTTCATTTTCGGCATCGTGCAGAAGCGATGTATCGAACACATATGATTTCCCATTAATCCATTCACGAGTTTCATCACCAACCGTCAAACGACACCTGTTTTCTCCCGAATACGGAATATCCAAAGCGAGATGAGAGGTCAAAACAAAGTTTGTAAAGTCGGAATGTGTTTTAATGGAAGATGGCCCTTTCATGCTCGCGAAAAAAATCTCCGTGGCGGGAGCGCCTGATGCGTGAATTGCTTGAGCAGTCTTTGGAAATAAATTCGCATTCGTGGGGTCCCATCGGCCACGGTCCATCAAGACTAGTGTCTTCCAACCTTCTCCATAAGAACTCGCATCCTCGGTCAATGCTCCAGCCCAGACATTGTTGCCTTCTCGCTGCAGCTTTTCCATGTTGCCCATGACAGCATCGAACTCTTCACGGATCTCAGTGTAACGAGATTCAAGGGTTTGAGTCCAATCAAATTCTTTCGTATCCCAAAAGGGTTTGATGGAGAGACCAGGAACATAAGAGTGACATTCTTGAATCATGTTGCTAGAGGCGATTTCGCTTGCATCGATTTTATCGCCCACGTACTCCTTTCGATAATACCCTTGATCTACGAGTCGCCAGGAAGTTAGAACGCGTTCTATTTCTGTTTCGTTAAATTTTTTCTTCAAGCCTTCTTCGATCATCCCTGCATAGGTTTGCGGGTTCAGGGGCTGCGAAGTATCGGGAAGAGTGACATCGTTCGTTGCGGGCGACGATAATGCAGAAAGCGTCATCTTGAGGTGCGCATCATGATTCGATAGTGCAACTCTTCGACTTGCTAACGACTTGTGCACCAACGACGAAGAAAACGTCGGTCCATTTTCGTGCATATGTATTGCAATGAAAGCCAAGCCTATTCCTCGTAGCGAGACCATGGTCCTCCTTCTTTGTTGCAAACCGCTTGCAGTAAAGAACTTCGTATGGTTCGGGGAATGCCTCCTGACCAAAAAGAGAAAGGTTCAATGAGTTTCGGTTTGAATGGATATGATGTGCTCGTACTTTTTACAAATTACGAAGTACGTAGCGTAGCTTTAAGTATCTTACTACGTACTCGTAGAAGCACCATGAGAGTTTTCGATGATGTTTTTGGAAGTGGTTTTTGTTTTTTTTATTTTTGGATGGGTCTATTCCGTGTGGTACCTGGTAGTACTCGTACTACGCTACATGGGACGTGGTTGGTTACTTTTTTCTTATCGTTTACCGTACCCGTAGAAGTATTACGGTAGTTCTTCTTGACCGAACGGTGCTGCGTCAAACGTCATGTCACRGACGGGATTGGTTGTTTCCTCAAAGCATTACTGTACTCTTGGACTGTTGGACTAGTTCGAATCAAAAGGTGACCATTTGAAAGTAAAAAGTAGGGTCATAAGACCCCTGAAAAATGGTTATTTCAGTACAATACAAAAGTACGGTAGCGTTACGATTGACTAGGGGGACGGGAGTCCCCCAAAATAGAATGAAGTGAAGTTTCTGTTGGTACAGTACTTKGTACCGTATGGTACTAACGGTACCGTACTTTTTTTGAAATTTGAATTTCCTTTTTCATAGTCTTCTAAAAATTGCTTACCGTGTGTCTACCGGTGCAACTAGTTCGAGTACGTACAATGCTGATGCGTTATGTATCGTTTCGTACCGTTGCCGTTGGTCCTAGTTATGCAATGATATGTTTTCATGTGAAAAGGAACCAGTAGAGTAAACCTTTGCTTCTGCCCTGAATCAACTGTCTGTTCCGACACCACCGACAATGATCAATTTCATCGTAAAGAACAAGATTCCAATTTCCAGATACAACACATTGCTAAACAACCTCTAAAACAAAAAAGCAAAACAAACATCAAGAGCAAAATCTGCCGACTATGAATCCTTCTTCCTCTTTCTCGTCAAATAGACGAAAGGTAAGTACATGCATCCCCTTTATCTGCTCGAAGACTTGTATGATTAGTTGGCAAAGGCGATGATTTTTCCTCAACTAATAACCCTCTACATTTCAACCCACAAAAACTGATTGTGTGATTGATTCAGACTATTTCTGGCAACAAAACMGATGCGACACGGAAGCGTATCGAACGCATGGAGGAGGAACGCGAAGAGCGTCGAAAGGAAATGATCCAAAGGAAACAATATCGTAAGGCAAAATGTGAAAAGTTGCTAGCTGCAGGCAATCCTGGAGATGTTGACTTTATCGGCATGGTGGAGGAATGGAGAGAAGAACAAGATGAAAGACATAAAAAGCGCAGCTCAAAAACCTCCCCACGCAACAGCAATATTATCGTTGCCGTTCGAAAGCGACCCATGTTTAAAAAGGAACGGGAGAAATTGGATCATGATAGTGTCAGTTGTTATGACCCAAAAGTGTGGATTCACTCAGCAAAATTCAAAGTGGACGGCATTACTAAATATTTGACCCACACGGGATTTCAATTTGACCATGCCTTTGGGGAAGAATCCACCACAGATCAAATTTATTTGGCCACTACGATGCCTCTAGTGGACCATGTGGTCCGTACGCAAGGGAGAGCAACCGTCTTTTGTTATGGTCAGACTGGTATGTACAAGCAATCAGGAAAACTTCGAAACTCGTTACCCATCACATTACCTGACCCCTGAAACTCTGAATTTCATTCAATACCAACAGGATCTGGAAAGACTCACACTATGAACGGAATACAGCAGATTTTAGCTCATGATTTATATGAGGAAATGAAAGAAAAGGGGGACAATATTGAASTACGGCTAGCATTCTTTGAGCTCTACAGTGGATTCATTCAAGATCTTTTGCACGATAGAAAACGTTGCAAGCTTTTGGAAGATGGAAAGGGCGAAGTGAATATTACAGGACTGCAGGAAGTTTGCGCGTCTACAGCAGAGGAATTTTTGCGGGTGATTGAAGAGGGTCACAGTCAACGAACTACTCGRTCTACGGAAGCCAATGATAGTTCATCGCGTTCGCATGCAATTTGCCAGGTTTTCTTGCGTGAAATCGGCACGGGAAAATTGAAAGGAAAGTTGACGTTGGTCGATCTTGCTGGGAGCGAACGGGGAAGCGATACAAAATGCCATGACAGTAAACGYCGTTCAGAGTCTGCCGAAATAAATACATCGCTTCTCAGTCTGAAAGAGTGCATTCGTGCATTGGGACAAAAAGGAGCTCACGTTCCTTATCGTGGTTCCAAACTCACCCTTATTCTTAAGGATTGTTTCTCGCCCAATTCAAAAACTACAATGATTGCAATGGTTTCTCCCGGTGCGTCATCCACAGACCATTCATTGAATACATTGAGATACGCAGATCGTATTAAAGAGCAAAGGGTAAGCGTATGAAATGATATCTWGTGATGATTTGTGTTTACACCGTGTTTCCTGTCTCACCGTGATCCAAAAAAATAATTTAAAATTATGCGAAGATTTCATCTTCTAGAAAAACCATGGGTAGAGAAGGATCGAAAGCCAACACTACGCCATGTCTAGAACCATCGAATCAAAGACTAGCCCGTATAACGGCGGCACTTAACTGGGAACGTGATGCTTCGAGAGATTCTGAACTCGTTTTTAGCGTTCCGGATCGATCGGAACAGGAAACCCATGTTGAACAGAACCATTTCTCGGAAAGTCTCGTCGAACATGATCAACCAAGAAATGCTGAAAGATTTTCGTTCAAAGTACCTTATGAGGAAGAGAAGGAGACCGGATTGATCGAGACCGAAAATATTGATGAAATAGATCTACTTTGTGACGAAGAGGCAGAGATGCGTAGAACAGTCGAAGTTCTGTTCGAATTAGAAGAATCTCTCTTGGATCAGCACATATCCAAYATCAAGGTAAGTTGCGTTTTCATATCAGATTTGTGTTTCATCTTTATCCCCTCTCACCATTTGCTTGTTTGATCCGAGTCTAGGGGAATGCTGAAATGTTGAGACACGAGGACAGTCTTCTTCAAGGTATCGAACAAATCGATGACCCAACTGACGATGAGATGGACAACTATGCCATCCAACTTGCTGAGTTTTTGGATCGCAAAGAAGAGTTAATTTTGTCATTGCAATCAAAACTTGACGAGTACAAGATGTATTCAGCTAGAGAACGAGAACTCGCTGAGGAAATGCAGAATTTGACKYGTTAAAATATCGAGCAGCAATTCTTTGATCGGTCTTCTGCAAAATTTTCTTCTTTGAAAGCCAAACGAGATACAATGCTAAATGATAGACTTAATTCACACTTGTTGTACAGTTCGTTATATTCCTTTACTTTGACTCCTCTAYTTCAAGACTGATTCCTGCAACGAAGTACATTAACGTTCGAGTTTGAACCAATTTAGTATATTCTTGCTATTATGTCCTTTCTGGCCAACGCTTGCGATGTGCGTTCATACAATCATCTTTGTATTGTTTAAGCTGTGAGTCATCCGCGCCAACAGATTGTTCATCMCAGTGTATGTTCATAGCACGCAGATATCCAAGAACAGCGACAACAGCACTTATGCAAACAATGAGCTCAAAGGCTAAAATATTATGGAGAGTACCATTCCTGTAAACAACGCAATGAGAGCCTTCCGTGGAACACGWCAGAATAAATGTCAGAGCATATCCAAGCGAGCCGAACAATCCATTTTGAAGTATGATGTTTGCGAAAGCTCCTTCCTATGTCATCACRAATGATAGAAGGAACAAAKTGCTTTAGGATAGTGAAGGAGAGGTATCCGGTCAATGCACATATACAGAAAGATCCATAAGATGAAACGCCAAAATAGTTTTACCTTCTCGAATGGAAAAAGATCGGCAAAYGTTGCTTTGACGGCACTTTCAAAAGTGGCACGGCCAATGCCATGCAAAGTGTAAACCAGCAAGAGAAGTTTCCATGTCCAAAATGCTAGGTTTGGTCTTAMAACRAAGAGCATCGATACAGAGAAAAAAGCCATATTACCAAACACCACTACAGGCATCTTCCCGTAATCGTGGGTGATTTTGCCAATAATTAGGCTGGAGACAGATGMTACACCAGCAGTCCATGCCGCGAATAATCCGATGGTTTCTGACTTCTGGTCGTCAAGTGCTGTCCGTATTACTTCTCCAGAAACAAAAGAATTGAGAAATGAACCAGCGAATCCAAATACAGCATTCAATCCAATCAAGAAGGGCATCTTTCTATCTCGGAGAAGGAGATTTAAGGTGACTWTCACACTACTGCACTGATTTTGGAGCGCGTTGTCGTCCTCTCGTGATGGAGGATAGTCCTTGACAAACATCATTGATGCAGTTGATAGTACAGCAATCATTGAATAAATTGCAAAAATTTCATTCCACCGTACGCCCCATTGGAGGAGAAAATACGATGAAACATGTAGAATGGATTCTTCTATCAGATATGCAAAAGCAAAGATTCCTGATAATGATGCAGTGCATTGACTCCAGTCACAACCCAGATTCAGCGCGTGATCTTCTGCTGCAGAGGAAAAATATGATCCTTGAGCTGTCCATGTAACTCCTGCACCGATTCCACCAATAAATGCCCCACCTGCTACTGCTACGGTCCCAATTTCTCGATAAGTGACAGCAATCCAAAAGCACCATACATAACAACAATACATGGACATGCCAGCCATCATCGCTTTTCGTCCCCCCATCTGTTTGACAATATAGGTTGCTCCCGTCACAGAAGACAAGGTGTACGCCAAGTAAAGTATTGCCGAAGAAAATGCTCCATCTTGGCCCAGTCGGGCTGTCGCTAGTGATAGACATGCTACTGCCGCRCAGGGATTTGCTGCGAAGAGAAAACTATAAATTGTGAAGCTTCGGAGAGTTCGATTGGCARCAGAAACATCACGGGGATAATCGGCGCGCTGGTTCAGAGCAGTCAACTCGCTAACGACTGTCTCTGATGTTGTGCATGATWTTTTTTTCATGGAATCATTCATGTTGGCCTGCAATCTCCGCCATAATGTCGTAACCGAACGGTCAGAAGAGAAAATTGCACTCTCGATAACAAAATACGGTGATTTATTCTCCTGGGAAAAAAAATCTACGTGGGGCAGGTTTCTTCATCTCAAAGATGCCAATGAACGCGGTTCATCGCACATCATTGCGATCGTCAAGCAACAACAAGTTCATAGAAAARAAWGAAATAGCTCAAATATAGAACCGATACCTGCTCTTCGTTCAGAGYATCGATCCTTGAATTCTACCTCTGATATGATGGTTTTGTTCTTCTCGGATTTTTTTGAGAAGAAACTGCATGCTGCTTAATATTTTTTTCCTMGATGTTCCGWACGGTACGAAGTTACGATTTGGATCGGTTTCTGGTCGGCTTGATCCACAAAACATTCTGGCAAGATTAGAAATCAAGGCACTAGACTGCTAAGATTTGATTTTTTCCTACCTAACAGCTGTACTCCAAATTCTACGTAGCCACTTATGTAGTGAGCAAGCCATGCTCTCCTTTTCATACTTATGGTTCARTCAATTGYTTCATTCAACACGCATGGCTTGTGGGGAACCTTCTACTAACAATTTTATTAAGTATCCCAAGAGAATACTGATGCATCAGCACTCAATCAACTCATCTGATCATTAGTCTAACATACAATACTGTAGTAGTACTCCTACTAGTACTAGTACTACTACTACTAGTCGTAGTAGATATTTCAATTTTATTCTTTTGCGCTACCATTTTGTTATACTGGTGAAATTTTACTGGAAACTTTTTGCTCCCCTCAGCAGCAAAGCAGGCAGCAAATGCTTGGATGGCTTCTTCTGGTCCTTCTTGGTGTAATTG